AAGCGCTACTCTACACTGCTCAAAACTCGCGTTTGAATCGTCAGTGGCAAATTCTTTAAATATAAAAAACGTACTTACAATCTGTGAGTCAGAACAGCGGGCATTGTAGTCTACTCTACCAGGATCAGGAAATAGTCCTCCATAAAATGCGCTGCACACATCTGAATATTTAGGTTGAACTGTTCTGGAACAGTGTTGTAAATACAACTTAACCACTGATTTCTAGTCGTGTCCTCTTTTGGAAGGCCAAACAAAGTAGTTTCGCGTTCACAACGAAACACACAGCATCATACACGGCGGGCTAGAGTGAGCGGAGGCTGGCGGCCTAGAGTGAGTGGCTGCGGGCAGGCTTGAGAACGGCGCGGCCGGCGGATTCGACAAAAGAGCATCCGGCAGGCTTGCGGCAACCACATGTGACGACCCCGGAGTGGACTCCGCTTCATCCACAGTGAAAGCCAATCCGGCGATCCAAAGCGCGAAGTTGATGTATTTCCTCAGCAACCAGCATGGATCAGCTCCAGGCATGACGAAGCAGATATCGTCCTCTTTTGGAAGACCAAACAAAGTAGTTTCGCTTTCACAACGAAACACACAGCGCCTTCGCAACATGGCGGCGGCGGCGGCAACAATACTACAGCGAGAATAAAAGTTACACCTTCTTTCTTTGCGTGAACATTTGGGCTGCGTTATGCAAATCTTCCCACATTGAGACGTAGACATGTGGGGGCGTGTTAGAACGAGCCATTTAGGTAGGCGTGGCTGTCTCTTAACTTTTATAAAGAATATCTCTTTGGATTTGAGACTTTAGTCTTTGCAACTTTACAGATCTTCTTTCTGCACCAAGAGCTTGTAACACTCCAAAGAGAAAGGAAAACTTGAAATCGCATCATATGATCCCTTTAAATGAGTTCCCAGAACACAATGCAAATAAACCTTGTCCATTTGCCATCTTATGATTCTGTATATACTGGATTGTAAAGCCTACTCTTCAGAATTTCTGCTTAATCACTGCTTCACAAATCTTACAGAAATAAAAAAACACAGGTCAATCTGCATAGGTTTAGACTTGGATGAATTTTGCATGATGTTAAACTCACGAGATAAGGTGAGGTGCGAGTTTAATATAATTGACCGCACAAATACGTCAATTGGCTCTATGTGTTAATGACTTTGCGTCACTAGGATATGTTAGCATCATTATTTGGTTCGTATTGGAGAGCCAGCTTGCCCGAGCTTGTGTGAGCGCAGCGCGCGAACGCTACAAATAAAAGAAACGCGCGCACCTGCGATCCTTTACAGCTCTATAAAGACAGAAGAACTGAACATCTTCCTCCGGAATACCAGCTCATCTCAGTGTATTTAAAAGGTATTATTACTTCTTTTATATTATTATTCTAGCTTTATAAGAAGAAGTTTTTGGTTTGAATTTTATGAGTAAAGTCTGGCGCAGGTGTGGATCTGAGGATGTCCTGCGGTTGGTTGTTCGTGCATGTGCTGCTGTTGCTCGCGTGTCCTGGACTCTCGCGCTGTGCGCTCGACTATCCGTCATTCACGGTAAGCACACGTTAAACGACACTTTAAAAAAGGATATCGTTCGTTTGTTAGACGGACTTGCTCTATGAGATGAAAAGGTGCGCCTTGTGCCTTAGAATCTTATTGGGGCTAGTTGTCGCACTGAATAAAAGTTAATAACCTACCTAAAAGTTTTGCATACTAAATAAGACCTTCTCCGGCAAAATAATTATAATATAATAAATGTATCTGGCTACATGTACTATGAACATATATAAATACCTGTATAATATATAGCCTATAAGATGAACCTTTCCACAATGGCATAATGCTAGTGTGTTTTGATTGTGGGGTCACTTGTTTACTCAACAGCTACTGCAAAAACCAAAATTTGAGTTTGGAGGACAAAATTCACAAATAATATTTCAGTAATGTAGATGTTTTATTTATTAATTTATTGGTGTACGTTGTTTCTATTTAACATAGTGCTGTTATTTGTAGCTATATTGGGAATATGATCTCTCAAAAAGGCAGCTGGTACAGAGAGAACGTATGGCGATGGCTAGAATCATAATGACTCCATTAAAACCTTAATGGCTCCATTAATGTGATATCTGTCTGTTAAATGGGCTCAAACAGAGGTTTATTCATGCGGGCACACTATCAAACTACACACATGCAGGTTACCCGCACACATTGCAAAAAAATTATAATAATAAATAATAAAATGAAAATAATTGATAGACCATTTTTGCAATCTAAAACTATATAGGCCTACCACTCACTGCTTTATTCTATTATTTTTATTGTATTGTAAAATCAGTTTTTCAAAGCAGTCCCGATCTTTTTTTAGTCGTTTTAATAACTTTAATGATCATCACAGTCTGGAGTCTTTATGTTACTGAGTCATTCACATTAGTGAGTCAGAATTTCATTTGCCATCCTGTGTGTTCTGTACAGGACAACAGCGACCCCCAGTCTGAGCGCTATGAGAAACGATATAAAGATATCGATTATGACAGTTTCATCGGCCTAATGGGCAGGAGGAGCGCAGGTGAGATTATATGAATGATGAAATTAGCATTTAATCGTATTAAAAATGCACAAGATTGGGAAATAATAACAAAAAAATGTCATCATTTACTCACCTCCATGTTGTTCTGCAGATAAATATCATCAAGGTTTGAAACAATGTGAGGATGAGTAAAAGACAGAATTGAGAACTATTTCTTCAAGGTCAAGGTTATTTTATGTTCATTGTTCATTTGTATTTCACAGGGACAAGTCGTGACACAAATTCACCATTTAGACGTAAGTTACAATTTTCTACGTTAACATATACTTTAGGCTAATATAATGCACCTATTATTAATTAAAGCAACATCAGAGCTTGATGAGATTTTTCTCTTTGGTCCTTTGTAGCTAATATGAATGACATCTTTGTTGGACTGTTAGGACGTAGAAACACTGTGTCTGGTAAGTCTGTGATAGGAGATGTAAATGGTGATCAATATGTTTTAGTCAAAAGAGTAAACGGGGAATAAGGAATTGCATTAAATTGAGGTTAATTTATAATTAATCGTCTATATTTGTGTCACTTATAGGCAAGCAAACCGATAGACCACGTTTGTAACAGCTGACATTTGCACAGTGCAGAATGAGCGACAGACAGAATATAGCAGCGAATACACTGACCTCTAGTGGGCACTGTGGAGAATTGTAAAAAATTAATATCCTTAAAAAACTACTCTCTAAAAAATGCTGGGTTAAATACAACCCAGTGCTGGGTAAAACAGGGACAAACCCAGCAATTGGGTTGTTTTGACCCAGCGGTTGGGTTATCCCAAGCATCTGGGTAGTAACCCAACCGCTGAGTCAAAACAACCCAATTGCTGGGTTTGTCCCTATTTTACCCAGCACTGGGTTGTATTTAACCCAGCATTTTTTAGAGTGTAGCCTTGCATTGTTTGTTTGTTTTTGACTATCAGCAATTCCTGCTTGGAGAGGAGAGAGAAGAGGCAACATTTCTTAAAAGACAGAAGGCTGAGGTGAGAATTTATTTAGCTTAAGTTCAAAGGAAATTCAGCTTAGCTTGAGTTCAAATTAATGGTCATTCTTTTTCAGAGATTTCTGCATAATTTCATTGACTGTATTTTTTTCCATGAAGGTTTTGCTGTGGTGTATGAAGCCTGATCTCTTCTGTCCAGAACTAATTCCGAAGAAATTTTTTTTTAAGATAACTGAGCTGTATGAGTTTTAGTTTATTGTCAGTGTTCATTGTAGTACTTTTAAAGAGTGTAGCCTTGCATTGTTTGTTTGTTTTTGACTATCAGCAATTCCTGCTTGGAGAGGAGAGAGAAGAGGCAACATTTCTTAAAAGACAGAAGGCTGAGGTGAGAATTTATTTAGCTTAAGTTCAAAGGAAATTCAGTTTAGCTTGAGTTCAAATTAATGGTCATTCTTTTTCAGAGATTTCTGCATAATTTCATTGACTGTATTTTTTTCCATGAAGGTTTTGCTGTGGTGTATGAAGCCTGATCTCTTCTGTCCAGAACTAATTCCGAAGAAAAAATCTGTCTTTTTAAGATAACTGAGCTGTATGAGTTTTAGTTTATTGTCAGTGTTCATTGTAGTACTTTTTAAAAAATGTAGGATAAGAATTCTTACATTTACGCCATTAAGATTTCTGAGTACAGAAAGCACCAAACTCAAATCAGATAAAGGATGGTTTGACAGATTTACTTAGATTTCAGGAATGACAATAATCCTGGGATAAAAATTCAAATGAAGAATATGTAAGCCACATGTTGTAAATGTTCTTGCTCATATACCTTAATTCTAACATATGCTTATTTAAAGTGATGTAAAAATATTATTTTATTTATTTATTCATAGAATAGACAGTTTACTGTAAAATAAGTATTTATTTAATATGCTGGTTATTATTCCTCATTGAATTATTCTTGTCACACATTTGCCTCACACACTCTTTTATAAATAAAAGACTGCTGTGGAAGTACTACACAGGATTCCCTTTGTACATAAAATATCCAACCAAAAAAAAAATATATAGAATAAGAAAGGAACACGTATACCTTTGGATTAAAGACAAGGGCATGAAATGCATGAATTCAGAAATGCAGATTCACTTTAAAAGGATTGGAAAGGACTGGTTTTGATGTTCGCAATATGAATGATTCTGCATAATTTATGACAAGTTGGGTTCCCATTTCTATGGGTCTTCTTAGTCACTGCAATTTCGCAAAACACTTTGCTCAAACAATGCAATGTCTTCAAAACTCAAGAAAACTCTACTCCTCTTAAGATTTGCATGTCTTTGTCTCTGTTGAGGATCTGAAATATGCAAACTAAAGTCAACTTACAAATTAAACTTCGTAAACGGAATGTTTACAAAGGAATTTTAGCCAAAGGGCTTTTCTAAGGAAGATCATCAAAATACTAGCAAAGTATGAGCACATTAACGGAATGAGCAAATTAAAGGAAAATCAAGGCCTCTTTTACTTATGTCACTGCCGTTAAATCATACATGGTGGTGTTTATGATTACACAGTGCAGAGCAAACACGCAATTGCTATTTTTATATATATAGGAAAAAAAATAGAACTGAATGCCAAGTATAATGTATGCAGATGCAGCCTTGCTTGTGGCCCCAAAATATTATCCAATGTTATTATACTGTTAAGGCAGACTCCTACACTCATAACCATACGATTCTGCACTGTCATATATATTTAAACATTGACATACAAATACATTATTGAGAGGAACAGACTCTCAAACTGTAGCAGTTCATTAAATCACACAAACATGTCATGCACACATTTCTGTGGCACAATATAGAAGACATTATCCAAAAAATGTAAAGCCACCCCAAAAACAGTTATTTTGGAAGAAGATTTTAAATGTTATTTTTAAAAATTCCTATGCAAAAAGCTACTATAACTTTTCATTAAGTTCGGGGGATTTCTTTTCTCCTTCCTGTTGATCTACCCCCAGCTTTTCCTCTATGTCTCCGGTTTCCACTTTGTCTGGGGCATTAAAGTCTTGTATGACATTGGGTTCAGGGGGCTGATAGCGGTATTTGTAGCCAAAGGCACGCAAGTGGTAAGTGTAGTATTCCAGCAGGTACATGTGTGACGGATCCACATAGTGGAAAGAAACGGCCAGGTCTGAGCAACACTGTGGGCCCTGAGAGAAACAGAGAGAAAGATTATATAATTATATGAATAAGAATGAAGAAAGATCCTGTAATTGCGTACTCGCCATGTTGTTCCAAACCCACATGTCTTACTTTTCGTTTAAAAATATTATTTTATTTATTTATTCATAGAATAGACAGTTTACTGTAAAATAAGTCTTTATTTAATATGCTGGTTATTATTCCTCATTGAATTATTCTTGTCACACATTTGCCTCACACACTCTTTTATAAATAAAAGACTGCTGTGGAAGTACTACACAGGATTCCCTTTGTACATAAAATATCCAACCAAAAAAAAAATATATAGAATAAGAAAGGAACACGTATACCTTTGGATTAAAGACAAGGGCATGAAATGCATGAATTCAGAAATGCAGATTCACTTTAAAAGGATTGGAAAGGACTGGTTTTGATGTTCGCAATATGAATGATTCTGCATAATTTATGACAAGTTGGGTTCCCATTTCTATGGGTCTTCTTAGTCACTGCAATTTCGCAAAACACTTTGCTCAAACAATGCAATGTCTTCAAAACTCAAGAAAACTCTACTCCTCTTAAGATTTGCATGTCTTTGTCTCTGTTGAGGATCTGAAATATGCAAACTAAAGTCAACTTACAAATTAAACTTCGTAAACGGAATGTTTACAAAGGAATTTTAGCCAAAGGGCTTTTCTAAGGAAGATCATCAAAATACTAGCAAAGTATGAGCACATTCAAACATTTCTCAGCTTTGATATAATGGAGATGTACAAAAAAAAACACCTATTAGATCATACTTAAAGTGGGTGGCACAAACTCAAAAGTGCTTTTTCTCTTTGATTCAACAGAGCAGCACAGAATACTGCAAACATTTCCATTACTCTAGCACTTTCACAGAGATTTTCTCAGCTGTATTCACACCATCCATGTATTACTGAAGACTCATTGATAATTAAATCAATCACGTTTAGTCAAAAACCCATAACCATTCCATTAACAATTTCAAGATGTACACAGAATTTGATTAGGTACTAGAATAAGTATAATTTTACTACTAATAATAATATGTCACAACATCTGTATGAATTTGTATTTGCTTTTTAGATTGAATCACTTCAAAACCATTCAGTTCTACAATAAATGCAAAAGTGGCATTGTGCTTGGAGTGGTCAAATGACAACAGTGGTTTATAATAAAATAAAACAAATTTCCAGTTCAAATAAGTTTATTCATTCAAATAAACTTTATTTGAAATCCTTCATAATTGTGCCAAGTCTCATACTATATAGTGCGCAGTCAAAATGCTTGCAAGTGCTGGAAAGAAGATTCTCTGATGGACAGTTTGAGCACTGCCTGCACTTCTGCCTCTGCTGTAACTCCCAGCATGATCTCAAATCCTACCATACTAGAATAAAAAAGTGAATCTGAATAATACACATTAAGTGCGCATTATTTTAAAAGGGTCATTTCTGAAAGCCTACCAACGCCAGCACATTTAAAGGGACAGTTCATCCAATCTGTTTCACAGAAGAAATTATGTCAGGTTTGGAATGACATGAGGGTGAGTTAATGATGACAGTTTTCTTTTTTAGTGCACTACCCCTTTAAGTACCGCAAATACACACAAATAATTGAGCAACTGAGACAAAAAGCACACATCACAAACGACTGAATCAATTGCACAACTCTGGACAAGTGGCTACATCAATAGCAAAATCAACACCACTTGGTTTAATCTAGCACAGAATGCTGTAGAACTTGCCACACTGGTGATGTGAACTGAAGCAAAACCTGACATTCAATTCTAGATAAACAAAAACCTTCACAGTCACACTCCAGTCAATTAAATGACTTGAATGCCAAAAAAAAAGCATTATGTGGTCTGAAAAATCCAATAATTCACAAGCCACTTTGCTTCACAGCACGTTTCACTATGCCACTCATCTACAAACCGCAATTCCCATTAGAATGGGGGGAAGAAAAAAAACCTTACACCATCTTATCTACCTTGCTAGCTTTACTTCTTTCCCAGGCACTCTATTGGGCCAGCCAACAGGATCTTACTAATCCGTATTCCTGCAACTTTCTTAATGGGGTAGTTCAGACAAAAATTACAATTTTGTCATCCTCTACTCATGTTGTTTCAATCCTGTATGAATTTATTTTTTCTGTTGAACACAAAAGAAGATATTTTGAAGAACGTGTCCAACCAGTTACTAATAGCCATTGACTTCCATAGTATTTATTTTCCATACTTTGTAAGTCAATGGCTACCAGCAACTGTTTGGTTACCCGCATTCTTTAAAATATATTTTTTGGTGCTCAACAGAAGACAAGTTTGGAACAACCCGAGGATGAGTAAATAATGACAATTTTCATTTTTGGTTGAACTATCCCTTTAACTCTCAGAGAAGGGTAATATGCTGTTTTGGTGTCATTTGAAGGACTACATCCTGGTTAATTTTTCTATGGATGTAATCTTAGTCAAAGTAAACTGTACACGTTCAACTTTGGCAAATGTATTAAAGACTGTGTAGAGAAAACACAGCTGGAGCTTGAATGTTTGCTCAACTAGGATCTACGATATAAGCAGCTCGGTTTAATTATTGCCTAAACTCAATACAAAAGTGGTCCTGGGACATATGGAAGTGGATGATTTTTCTGGATCAGAGCAGAGGCACTAATTCAACGGAATGAGCAAATTAAAGGAAAATCAAGGCCTCTTTTACTTATGTCACTGCCGTTAAATCATACATGGTGGTGTTTATGATTACACAGTGCAGAGCAAACACGCAATTGCTATTTTTATATATATAGGAAAAAAAATAGAACTGAATGCCAAGTATAATGTATGCAGATGCAGCCTTGCTTGTGGCCCCAAAATATTATCCAATGTTATTATACTGTTAAGGCAGACTCCTACACTCATAACCAGAGCTTATGAAGACCACAATGTTGCAGTGGCGACTCCATGTGGCTTTCACATGCCGAGCTTTCTTCTCAAGGTTATTAGGGCCGGTCATGACCCAACACAAAATGCGTACATGCTTATAGAGAGTGTCAGCCAGTGTGCCATCCTCACCTACAAGAGACAAACCGTGATTATTCTGAAAAATAAATGATACAGACCAAAAATCACATGCTACCATTTAGACAAGAATATTTTGAATGTGCATAATCGTAGTGAACTTTTTTTTTTAATGAGAATAAGCATTTATTTATCAAACTGCAGAAACTTCTAAAGTGATAGTTCACCCAAAAATGAAAATTCTCTCATAATTTTGTCAACCTAATGTCATTCCAAAGCCATAAGCCTTTAATTCTTCTTTTGGAACACAAATGAAGTTTTATTTATTTATTTTTTTAAATCTTCTCTTTTTTTTTTTGCTTTTTTGTGAAAAATGACTTCTATTTAAATCAGTTCCTGACTCCAACTCAGAAGAATATAAAATCACCATTCAAATCAACTAATCTTTTTGTGATCCAAAGGGGAAAAAAATCCTACAGGTTTGAATTTCAAAACAAGGATTAGTATTGCAAATAATGACAGAAGTTTCTCATAAATGATACAGACCAAAAATCACATGCTACCATTTAGACAAGAATATTTTGAATGTGCATAATCGTAGTGAACTTTTTTTTTTAATGAGAATAAGCATTTATTTATCAAACTGCAGAAACTTCTAAAGTGATAGTTCACCCAAAAATGAAAATTCTCTCATAATTTTGTCAACCTAATGTCATTCCAAAGCCATAAGCCTTTAATTCTTCTTTTGGAACACAAATGAAGTTTTATTTATTTATTTTTTTAAATCTTCTCTTTTTTTTTTTGTTGCGCAGACTTTCAGTGGGGGGACAGAAATCCCTTAGGTTTCATTAAAAATATCTTCATTTGTGTTTCGAAGATGAGGAATGACATGAGCGCGAGTAAATGATGACAATTTAAATTTTTGGCAGAATTGATGCTTTAAAATTAACTAATCAAATCCAAAAGGCTTTTAAAAATGTTGATAAACACGTAAGAAATTGTTTTCTATGAAGCATAGAATACTACTATCTGTTTAAATGCATGTCAAATACGTATTCAGAGAACCTAGAGCCAGCATATGGTAGTCCAAAGTTTATTACTTTTGGGGTAATTTATTGATAACCAGCTGGCGATAAAACCTTTCTGTAAACTTTAACAAGGACAACACATTAAATGCGATCCCAAAATCAAAAGCAAAGTCCATCTCTTCAGGGAGGATACACAGACAGATACAAACATGCCCATAAAGAGTTTCTCACAGAGTACACAAAACGACTGCATTCACATTCAAATGGAACATGTTAACTGGTTCTTCAATTGTAACATCAGGGTGTTTTGTTATATCCACAATTAATACCAATAAAAGGGTGTAATATACTGAAGTACTGTATACATCATCTAGCTCTAACTGTCTAACACACCTCTTTTGGGAATGCCTTTATTTGTGGTATCACAGTAATTGACAGATTCACTTGTTCTTTGTGGATCATAAGACCTGACAAACAACTTCCTTCTAAAAAATTGAGCATGACTGTCTGTAACAGGCAATTAACAAGGCTATCATTACCATATTATGGCTTCCAACAAAACAAGTTGAACAACTTGTACAGGTGAAATAACGAGCACCCCTAATGTTTTTATTTAAATGCCATTTAAGTTATCCCAGCCAGATAGACACAAATACGCTTAAAGAAAAAAAAAACAAAGATTCAGATTCTGCCATCATTTACTCACCTTATGTTGTTCCAAACCTGTATGACTTGATTTCCTACTATTCTCTTTCACTGAATCTGTTTTGCCATTTAACATTTTCTTTCAGATTCCACGTAAGACACATAAGTCATAAAGGTTCATTCGTTTCTTCATTGTATCTACCTGCATGGTGAGGATGATTGAGGTTGAAGAGAGCCGACCTCTCCTTCTTCCAGTTCTTGTTTTCTTCTTCAACCATCTCCAGCAGACTTTTCTCGTGGGCCTCACCAGACCCCAAGTCCCGTGTGAATCCAACCTGACGCAGGAGCACGTACAGGGTGCACGTGCCTACCACAAAGCCCACGTAAAACGCGGAGCGCACACCGAGAGCTTTCATCACGAGCTCTATGTGAAGAGACTCTCACCTCAGAGGGACTATTTACAACACAGACAGAAACACAAAAAGACTAACTACATCAAGCAGAGGATGGCGCAGTGTTCCTCAGCCTATCATTAGGTTATGTTCAAGATTCAGATCACATTAAAAGAAAAAAAAATCGAAAATGAGGCCGATGTTAGGCGCGTACAGTCTGCGTGACATCCGCTCTGTGATCTTTATGACTGATTATGACAACGTTACGATAGAGCAGCATGCGTCATCATACCAGGACACAACTCAAATGACAGCTAACGTATACACTGGAAATGTATGCTGAATTTAATTATTTGCTTAGGAAAATGAATTGAAGTGTACACAACAATATCAGGCGTCATGTAACTAGCGTTAATCAAATAATTAATTAGTCTTCAACACTCCTCACAACTTAAGGCGGTAAAATATTGAAGGGGGTCAACTAAGGGGGGCTAGCAAACTTCTAATGGGGGCACAAGATAACACATTTTAAGTAAAGATAACACAACAGTTTAAAATAAACTAAATAAATTATATTAAACTAAAATGTTAAGACGTCATACACCATCGATACTGACATCAACTGTTGCCTTTGTTATTATCGAAGAACATACAACTTCTGTATCACAAAATTAATGGAAGGTTATTTTTAATCTATAAAGACTTTTATCTATTTCTGATAACAAGAAAGTTTCAAAACAAGCAGCTTTGGCATGATTACAGCAGAAGTACCCAGAGGAAATGTTTTATTGTTTTATCTATTTTATGTAAGTTAACAAGGTGTCGCAATCTTACCAGACACATTATTTCCTCCATAACTGAAGTAAGAAAAACTGCAAGATTCGGCTCCGAGGCCATTTAAGCCCAACTCAGAGAGCTAGCATAACAGTTCAGCTGTGGTTTCCAACTTAAATCCGAAATCTGACAGCTTAATCGGGTCATTCGGCTTCAAAATCATGTCCTGGCTATTTTCTGCCTCATGCAAATTTGGGTTGGTGGATAATTTTAGGCTTCACTTAAAGCTAACTAGCAACGTGCTTCCTATCTCTTCATATGTCAACTGAATGCTGTTCACGAAGTAAAAGCCGAGAGGTACGGGGGCGGTTCAGTTCCGTATTATAATTAGCCGACCCTATTCAGAGATCCTTAGTTTCGTGGACAGTGACACACACCCATCCCACTAAGTTAAGTCGCCTTTATTTCAGAAAATAAAGAAAATCTTTTCGACCACACTATTCTCGCAACGCTTGAGCAAATGTCAACTGTTCGCGTCACAACTAACGCAGGACACACGGAGGCGCATTTGATTGGATAGATCGACTGTCAATCTTAAACTAAACGATTATGTCATTTGAACGTCGGGTTATGATTGGACCACATGTATCCAACCGTGGAACACATTCCGGCAAGTGAAGGCAGGGAGCCAAACGAATCACGTCGAAAAAAGTTTGAAAGATTGTTATGTAAGGATAAAAGAAACTAGAATACTTTGATCTCCTGAGAGGCAAAGAATGCACTGGCATCTTCAGGACACCCCACAGAGGGGTGGTGCGGGAAACGCCTCTCTCACATATGCATCTGTGCCTTTTCACTCAAACTGGTCAAGAATATAATGTTCTAAATGAATGCAAATAAGATTTACAGTCATGTTTGGTTTCATTTGAATAGTTTCAGGGCAAGTGGTACAATGGTCTTAATCTTACTAAAAGATAATACAGATCCTAAGAGTTAAGAGAAACTTTGATCACCGTAGAGAGCAATCCCATGCAAATTACCTTTTGTTACCACCCAGGTCTGGGACCTGGCTTAATGCAAATTCCAATTGTTTGTACAGGCCTCCATTTGGAGGATGTCTTTTCTTAGTTTTGTATTTAAAGGATTGCAGCAAAAGGGTCAGGGCGATTCTGTAGCCAGAATGCCCGTAGTACAGAGTATCTCCACATACTCTGTACTATGTATTTTTCTAATACATCTAATACATTTAATCTCAGGTATGCATTTTACTCTTAGATTCGTCTTTGAGAGTTTGATGTCTTGTATTGATTTGATATCGTTGAATTGGCTGTGGAGATAATTGGCATAATACATATTTACCTGACTGATAATAAATTGTTACATTTAATTCATTCTGATTACTCTGAAGTTATTTTCTCAAGTAGATTAAGTGAAGGCGTATGTTTCCGCAAATCTGCGACCAGGGTTAAGTGCATACTAAATCTCAGGTTAGATGGAGCATGGGCACATCAAGTGAGATTATAGGTTTCTGACTAACCGCTTGACCTTAGTTTAAGTTGTACTCAGTTACGTTAACCATGTGTATGA